GACTGCCAGCGATCCACTGGCCGTCGCGTCGCGTCGCCTGTCTGGTGGTGGTCAGTGGCCGGTCAACTCCTATTATTATGACTGGCTGAATTCGCTAAGTTTTTCACGCTTTCGTACTCAACTCAATTGAGTCGAATTGCAATTGAAAGGGAAGAAATAGCGAGAGGTGGCGGCAAGAAATCAACTGCAATTGTTAGAGGCATACACATCACCCGAAAAAGTACAGTTGGCGATCAGTTTATAGGAATTAGTGTTTAGATATTCCTTTATTTAATTTAATGTTACCTTAATTTAACTTGCAGATTTTTATTCTTATTTAAAAAATACATTTCTTTGAAATTTGTGTTAAATTTATTTGTTTTTATAACCTTAAAGGGTATTATTATTATCAGGAACTTGTTAAGCTATGAAGGAGCCATTTCCGACCCTATAAAATATATATATTTTTGATCAGGAAGGAATTTTAAGGGATTAAATCATTAAAATTTTCTTTTAGTTTTTTTTTTTTTTTTTAAATATTAAACTATTGATCCAGATTTGTTAAGCTAAAAGAAACTAGCACACAACTGTTTTCCAATTTGAGATTAATGCTTTTTTGACTTGGTTATGATCGATTTCAATACTATAGGGTATACAAATTTCGGTTCTTTTTCGTTTTTATTCTAAAATTCGATCCCAAGTTTTATAATTTTGGCATTAATTGTTTGTGGCATGCATGCCTGGCTCCACATGAGAGTGTTTAATTCGACTCCATCTGCTCAGCTCTGCTTGGATGCTCTGTTGCAAGTCTGCTTTTGCTGGCGCGCCACTCTGCTTTGGGGGCACGTGGTAAGTTCTGTTTGTTTTCTCGTTGTTTTTGTTATTATTTTTTTACTGTATTTATATATATTTTTTTGTTGTGTGACAATTTTACGTGCGGAAAATCTGTGAAGCGTCACCAAACAAAAAATAAATGTCTGAAAATATCAGCTGAACCGGGGAAGAGATGATGGGGAGCAGTGCCGGGCAGAGAGACCGGTTTGCTTAGACCGATTTGTTGGTAAACACGTTTGCTATGCGGCTGCCCTTGTCAAGGTCATGCCCAGTCAAACGCTGCTCTTTTTCTATATTTTTTTTTTGTTTTTATTTACATTTACATTTCCATACATACCAAAAAGTGCAGCTTTTATTTCACAATTTATGATGGATCAGCAGCTGATCTATTGTATAACTTCGGCTTTTAAAAGCCAAATCAACAAAAAAAATAAAAGAAGATAAAGATAAATACATAAAAAAGAGACAGGGGGGACTAAATAAACTCTGGCTGTTAAGGGGGCTCTTGAGTTCAACGACTTCACATGACAATTGGCCATTGTTGGTGTTGGCTCCGCCTGTTGTTGTATATTGTTGTTGAACGTTGTTGAATGTTGTCGTGGCAAAGACAGAGGCAACACACACGAGCAATTAAAAAGACGTTAATTTGTCGACGTTTTTGTGGCCACGAAATTGAATTTTCAACTGACCAATTCGAGTGATTAATGACTGAGAGACTAGGGAAGTCTTGGCCATCCGATCCCAAATCAAATTCCCCCCCAAAAACTCCAGCGGGAAATGGTCCGCTTCTGTCGCTCATAATTACTACGAAACTACAAGCAAAAGCTGGAAACGAAGCCTAAATTAACGACTGAGGCGCAGACGCCAACGGTTAAAGTCACAGTCAGCGAACCCCGGAGATACGCAGATACGCAGATACATAGATACACACATAGAGAGAGAGGTATAGGCTCCTCCGTGCATGATTCTAATTACTATGTATGGAGCAGCCGGGCTTTGTGCCCCATGGATTATATAGACAATGCACACACAAAGAGCAACAAGAACTCCATTGTTCAGCGAACTGTTCAGCCAGGAGAATGGAGAATCGCCAGAATGGGTAGGGAGAGAGAGAACCGGGAGAATGCCACAGAGTGGAGAATAGAGAACGTAGAATGGTAAGTTCAAGTACCCCCTGACAGAGGCATTACATGATATCCCATAGATCATAGAGGAAGTCTTTAAGCAAACCGTAATCTAACCAGAAGACAGCCGACAGCCATAAGGTCAGGTGGGAATTATGGGTTGGAGAGAAGACTATAGATTGTAGAATGTAAAATGTACAATGTTATTTGATTATTTCTGGGCAAATATTTGTATTCTATTTACACTATTTACACACAATTGAGCACAAAACACTAATCTGCTCTCTAAAGCGGACAAAGGTCGTTAATTGTCCGCTTAAGAGAGTTTAGTGATATTTTTTTATTTAACTGAAAAAACTTTGTAGCTAAAATTAATTATTAAATTCAAGTTTATGGTATTTAATTTGTAAATTATTTAATTCTAAATAAAAATAGCCTAGTAGTAAGAGAGAACCTCAAATTCTCAATTCTTTTACTTCCCCCGCGGCTCTCTTAAATACCAAGAATTCCCTCCGGTATTCCAAAAGGTAAAAGGGGAGCAGCCGCATTAGCACTGGCCATTAAAGATTTAGAAAGGCCCTTCGTCAGCGGGTTGCCCAAACAAGAAAAAAAAATTAAGAAAACATTAAAATCAAAATCAAAATCGAAACGAAAGTGAGAGGAACGGTAGAAGAGTGACAGGTAGAAAGAGTAAGGCCCAAAAAATAAACAAAGGTAAGGGAAAGATCAGGGTAGCCAAAGGAAGTGAATGAGAGATTCCCTTAGGAAGCTTTTGTTTGAAATGCTCATTCATATATTCAGTTCACAATTCAGAGTTTTTAAGCCCAAGCAGCTGGCTCTCCCAGTTTCTGGGGAGGGATGTACATATATACGAATCTGAAACGGAGAACAATTCTACAGCTACTGGTGGGTCAAATACCTTCAGCTTAACGAGCTGAGATGCTCACATCTTATTTTTATTTTCTCATTGAAATTGTTTATTGTTCAGCGCGCAAATGTTGTATAAAATTCAATAAAAACTGCGAAACCAGTTTATCAGCTTGGTTTCTCAGTGAAATGTTGCCAAATAATATACGCCATATAAATGCCTATATAGTATATATGTGTGTGTACATTAAAATCAAAAAAATATATACAAAAATATAAACGAAGCTTCATGTCCCAATCATCATCATCATCATCACCACAGCATTTGTTGTCTTTGTCGCCGTTTTATACATATATATAAATTTTTTTTTTTGCTTGCCTTGCTTTTTATTTGGGATTTTCTTTACTCACTTTTTTTTTTACGTTTGCTGTGAGATTCAATTAAAAACTTTTGACCAGCCATTTCATAAATAGTTGTGAGGGGAAAATGGAGTGGAGTGGTGTGGAGAGGGTGCCATCAACCTGTTTGATGTTAATCAATTTTCGCAACAAATTTTTGCACTTGCCATTTGCTTTAGCGGAACCAAAAAAAAAACAACAAAATAATAGTAAAAAACAGCGTAAAAACGTAAAAAAAATCATGCTGCAAATGTTTTTGGAAAAGGAAACATGCGCTAAATAGAGCCGTACAAGTATCTATTTACGTTGTTTTTATCTCGTTTCTCACTTGCCTGGAAATTACTTAATATGCATTTAGCCGCCGTGCTTCGACCTTACATAGCTTATGCTTTTTTGCTGCTTTTTTTTGTTGCCTTTTTGATCGATAGTCGAGCTGGCGGCAAAAGCGTTTCCGCTGCGGTTTTCAGCAATCAGCAATCTGAGCCTCATCATTATGGCCATAAGCCATTGATTGTGGCTGCCGCCGCGGATAATTATATTATCAAAACCAAACTTGAGTTGGAGTTGTAGTTCTGGTTCTCACCCATGAGATCTGCCAGTGAGCTCTCAATCCCAATCTCAATCTCAATCCCAATCCGTATCCCCCATTTCAATCCGATCCGCTGCTGCTTTCACTGCTGACTCAGCCAGTGGCAACAACTTGCTGGCTTGGCTTTTTGCCCCCTTCTGCCACAATCGGAGACCGACTCCCGACTATCTGTCATTTTGATTTTCCGCTTTTTGCCAAAGAGTCTACTCTGGGGCAAAAAAAGCATGGAAATTGCCTTAACATACATAACTAATGAGAAATCTTGGAGTCAACCAAAGACTACCTATTGTAGAGGTTGCAAGTAAGCAAACAATTTAAGAACCTTATATCTACGGTTTGATCAAATGCATATACATACATATGTATCTAAAATAACACATATTTCTTAAATAGAAATATTCACAATATAATGTTTATTAGGGAATGTGAAAAAATAGAAATAGAAAAATGCATACATAAAGTAACACAGTAGAAAATAAAATAAAAACTCTCTTAAGCGGACAGGATTCCAAGAATTAATGCGATCTTGAACTTGGCAAATAAGTAAGAGAAATTTTTTTTCATATAATATATTTAAAAACATACTTTATAATAATTTTCATTAAGTTTAAATCTTTTCAAAGTTGAAAATTAGCAGATACTCTCTTAGGCGGACAAAGACTTGGCTTGTTCAAGAAAGTTTATAGGCCACATTTCTGTTTAGAAGGATTTTTAAGAGCTAATGTTTGTTTAAATATATTATATATTTAAATATAACAAATATTAAAATTATTTAAATTAAGCATAAAACACTAGGTTTTTTTCAAAACGCCCATTGTCCGCTTAAGAGAGTTTAGTGTAATACTTATTTAACTGAAAGAACTTTAAGAACCTAATTTCTTTCTCCAAATTAGATATATTTTTTGCCTTCGAAATTTGTATCTTTTTGAGGTACAAAATTTCATTATATTATTCATATCCTTTGCCCCACTGTGCAACGTGTGAATTTTTGCAGTCGAGGCGAGTTTCTTGCCCCCAGCACACCGGCATAATTTACCGTTTTGGAGCACTAGCTGTGGCTTTATCTCGGAGATCCGAAGATCAGAGGAGATCGCAGTGCTTGGTGGTGTTGCAGTGGCAACTAAGTGAATTTTTAGATGCAAACGGAAGCGGCAAGGGCCAGAGAAACAGAGAAAGAGAGAGAGATGAAGATGAAACTGACAACTTACCTAGACAACGACCTCAATTAGCGAATCTGTTTGGGCCGCGTCTCTGTCCATGGTTCGTTCTAACGACGACGATGGCTTAATGGTGCTCCCTTTATTTCCTGTCAGCTCACATGCATCGGTCCATAATGCCTGTGTCCAGGTTAACAGCAGCAGCAACAACAACGACAACACATGCACTCTCTTTTTTTCAAGTATTTTATTTTTTTGTTTGTATATATTTTTTCACTTTCAAAAAAATAAATTAAATCACAAAAAAACTATTTAAAAAAAAACTAGATCAAACCGAACGCACTTACACTCGCGTCGCCAATTTAAAAGGCATGTAACGTATGCAAAAAATATATAAACAAAGCCTTGGCGAATTCTTCCCCTAGTTTCTTCCCAGCCTCGGCTTCAGCTTCAGCTTCTTCTACACGCGAGAGAGTGACGCAGCGTGGCGTCCGTTCGGCACGAAACTCGTTTCTCGAATGAGAGCGGCTTCAGTGCCAGCTGAAAAGCTGAAAGCCAAAGAGCTGAAAGCGCCGCAACAGCTGACTGGCAGGCAGCCAGGCAGCTGGTTACCTCTCCTATTAAAAAAAAAAAAACAAAAACAACGCTCTCAACCCTCTCGTGCTTAGAGATCCCTCTCTCGGCCTCCTCAGCCGGGTTTTTAGGGGGAGAATGCACGCACACGGGTTGGGCCTAACCCGAGTTCCAAGCCAAGGGAATTACAATTAATTTGACCAACATTCGGTTGAAAGGGTACTTTTCCTCGAGAGAGGGTATGACAGATGTTATAACCAGAATTGGGACTAACGAAATATTATATAGTTTTATCAGGAATAAGGGTCTTACAAAATATATTTTAAAATTATAAAAAGTATTAACATTTTCGAAATAAAACTAGTTGAAAATCTTGAATAATTTGTATAAGAATCCAAAGTGTAATATATAAATATAAAGATACTATAAAAAATAAGATGCGTAACGCTTCATTTTTAAGGAAAAGGATAATTGTGCATCTTAGTCATAATATTAACTTGGTCAAAAGGGTATCAAAGGTTCTTAACTTTTTAAATTGAACGATATAGATATAGATTTATAAAATTAAATATATAACGATAAATACAATGAAATATGTATGTATAACCCACCCAAAAAATGTATAAACATTCGGTATTTGTTTTTCTTTTGATTTATTTGTATATTGAATTTATTTGGATGCTTTTCTTTGGAATTTGTTTTTTTTTATAATTGAATTTCTTATTGAATTTCAAGAGGAAAATTCATACGTAATCGTAATCGTACTACTCTGCTAAAAATACCCCAAAAAAAAAAAAAAAAAAAAAGAGAAAATCAATGGACTCTGGGCATTTACAGGGTATCATCTCTCTTTCTCACGTGGTTGTAAACGGTGCTAGAGACAACGACTGGCTCGTGAGTGTGAGTGGTGTGTGAGTGTTAAATGCCTAATAACCCCGATCGGCGATCACTATTCAAAAGTAATTCGTATATGTCAATTATATAACTACAACTAGAACTATTTAGATCCATGTATATATATTAGAATTTCTATTAAAGCTGATAAATGTACTTGATCGTTTGTTATTAATTCGTATAATTTGTTATTAGCTTCAAAACAAACAAATTTGTGTGTTGCTTTCCTTTATTTCAATTTCAATTTCAATTTCAATTTCAATTACAATTTCAATGTGAAATGAACTACCAAGATTCCCTATATATATATATATATATATGTATATATATATTTGATGTATATATAAGATCTAACTGATGCAAAAGTTTCGCTTGTAAATAGTTGAGAAAAAACGTGGAATTTAAGTACTAAAAATTGTATTACGTCTACCGACAAACAGACTCTGACTCCAACTTCGACTCTGACTCTCTGGCTTGACTCTACTACTAACTGCTCTGAGGCTGTGGCCGTTAATTTTAATTGTTAATGTAAATGTTAGTGTAAATGTTGTAGTAGTAAATGTTATGTATAAAGACAACTACGTTAAGCTACCCATACAATAGTTCATTGGATACGTAAGGCAATTTCACACTGTTTAATCCCGCGCAACATAAACCCGAAATGGCTAAAAGCTACAAGACATACATGTAATAACGAATGTCGACTTTGTCTCTAAAAAAATATGTAGTCAGTGTACGGAACGCCCCCTAAGTCCTAAGTCATTATTTAATATTATTATTAATATTTTCTTTTTGGCTGGATTCGGATTCCGAGTGCTTGTTTGTTGTGTCAAGTGTGTGTGTGTGTGTTGTGTGTTGGATGCCTCTCTCTGCTTAGATTCCCAACTACATAAGTAATTGCCATTCGTTGTCTGTTACATATTTTTGGCTTTGACTGGCTCGTTTGCTTGCTTCCTTGGCAGGAGAATCGATTCGATATCCTTATCGATTTATATCGACCTGTCGATCTATCGTTTTATCTGTTTTCATGTTGGACGCAATTGGACGCCTAGAGCTTGCCCGTGATCGTTGCGATCCGGGGGATTCGCTAGCTACAAAGTCGTATCAAAAAACTTAACGTACTACTAAAAGTTTTCTTCCGATTCCTCTCAAGTGTTTCTCTCTCTCTTTCTTGATTTTTACCTGGGACGGCCTATCGAAGAGCCTGTCCCGTCATGCAAATATCCCGTTATTCGTTATCGTTATCGGTCATGGCCCATAGCTGATCCGAAGCTGATATTAGGGCTTAAGAGATGCTTAACTAAAATTCTACCCCTAGAACACAGTAAGTGAAGGGGTGTGAATGTGCTTCCAAGGAGGAGGTTAGAAAGTGGATGCTTGGAGAGTGCTTTTTCCGGGGATTCCCCTAGCCTGCGACTATCTGGGACACGGAGTTGGTGCGTCGGCGTTTGGTGATCTGCTTCCACAGGCGGCGGTTAAGTGATGGCTTGTCCTGGAAAAATAAATATATCATATATTAGGGAGGCTAGAAAAGCTCATATGTATAAATATGAGTACTGTATATAAATAGATATTTTTCATAAAAATGGTTTTCTATATTTAAGAAAAATCTTCCTGAAACTACATAAACATGAATATTTTTCTACAATTAAGAAAAAGTTTCTATGAATTTAAGGCAAGGCACTTTATAATCAAGACACCATTATTATAGAATTATATACCTTAATATTTTTTAGGGGTTTATTTTTATATTTTCCGCAAATTTAGGGAGTTTAGTTACTTTATAAATTTAAGGGTGAATTTCAGTTATTTTACTGGTCATTTTTTCATATTCATCAATTTTCATATTTTTCATATTATAATTCTCAACTGGTTCTGACATCCCTGACATGAAGTGACGGTTTCCAGACTTGCATATTGACAGTGGTGAGCACTGTGTGATTTTAATTATATTTATGAGTGTACTTACGTTATCCTTGCGGGGCGACATCTGTGCCATCTCCGCCGCCGTGTCCTGGCCCGAAGCCGACGGCAGCTTCTGGAGCAGCAGGCTGCTCTGGCTGTGGCTCGGATGGGGCTGCTGATCGCCGAGCTGGACGGCGCCGTCAGAGAAGTTGGGAGTGCTGCTGCTGTTGGTGCTACTGGCGGTTATCTCAGAGTTGCGACGCTTTATGAAGTTTATTCTAAAAGCAGGACATAGTCAGGATCATAGATATATATATATCTCTCCATTACTTACAATCTTTTGGACCTGCCTATATCGGTCTCAAGGAACGCCTCAGTCATTGTTGTGGTTGTAGTGATGGCTCCCGCTCCGTCCATCGAAGTAGTACTCCTCGTCCTCGTCAGAGAGGCTGCTGCAGCTGCTCGGGTCGGCCAGGAAGAGTCGCGTCTCGTTGAATCCACCATCGGTGTCCCCATCGCCTCCATCTCCGTACGCATCTCCGAAGCCATCGCCACCAGAGTCGTGGACATTGTGGATGTCTCCCTGACTCGACAGCCACTCCTCGATTGAGACATGGAGTATATCTTCTCGCGTCTCGCTAAGATTTCCAGATCTCCTAATTTGCTCCCGTCTCTGTTGGATTTGGAGCCGATGCTCCCTTCGCCGCCGCTTCCGTTCGCGTTGCCTCCGGCTCGACCCACAGATCCACCACCGCTCCAACCCGCCGGCGGATGTCCCGGCTGATGCGGATGTCGTGGCTGCGGCAGCTCTTCGCCGGCTGCACGGATTGACCCACCAGCGGCGAGTGGACTGCCGTGACTGCTGCTGTTGGTGTTGCTGTGACTGCGACTGCGACTGTGACTCAAGGCCGCGCCCGCTGAAAGGGGTCGAGGCCGTCGGTTCACCGTCGGTGTGTCCATCTTTGAGTTGCGATGTTGAGAGTACGATATGACAGCCTCTTTTGGCTGCACTCGGTTCGTGGCTGAACGACTCAATAAATCGCGACCCGTCAGACGATGAAATGTGGAGAGGTCGTGCCTGAAAGTAGTTCCATTTAATATAGTTTAATTTAATTTATAAAGTATTTTATTAATTAAATAATAAAGTGTTTTATTAATTAATTCAAAATCAATACAAAGTAAGATAAAATATATCTTATCGCACTCTTTTTCTCAATATAATTATACAAAATAAACAATAATTTTTTATTTTACTTAAAATCGATTAAAATAACAACTAAGTTGGATAGCATATTTCTGTAATATTTTTTAGAAATAAAATATCGATTTTTTTAATATTTTAAAATTCGATATATCAAGCTTAACGATTTTTTCGATAAATTAAATTTTATAATATTGTCGATTATAATATCGATATCATATCGTTCTATCGATATTCTAGTTTGCTCCTTACCCCAGAATAGTTGTTAGATCGGGACCAGGCTCGTAGCAGATCAAGTCCTCGTCCCCGAGAATGTCGTGATTGAGGGCCAGTCGCATTTCCAGCCTTGGACTTAGGCCGCAGCCAGCGTGGGGCGCTTGGACACCGGCCACCGAACGTGGACCGGCTGCGTCTGGCTCCACTGCAGCTGGGCTGTGGCTCGGCTCCTGCTCCTGTTCCCCCTGCTCCTCCTCCTCCTCCTCTGGCACCTGAGATCTCCTCTCCCGCTGGGATTCGGCTGTGGGAATCGTTTTTGCTATCCTCGAGACTGTTGCTAATGAAGTGACTGAGACGGGCCTGGGTGCCCCCAGCAGGCAGGTCTCGATTATCGTTGAGGACGGTACTCGCTTGGAGCTGATGGTATTCGGTGCCGATGCTGGCATTATCCTTGACCCGATACCGATTGGGACCGAAGCGTTGGCGGCGACGCCGACAGCCCCCGAGGAGCCATTGTCAGCAATAGCGCCAGATTTTCTTCGAGGTGGCTCCTAAAAGGGGATTAAAAAATTAGTAAAACAAGTTTGTAGCTTGCCTTTTTTAGAAGGTGACTTACCGTTTTGGCCGGAGCAGCGCTTAGATCGGTCTGGGTGAGCAGCAAGCGACGAGGTGGCGGCGGCGGCGGTACAAATCTCGGCGGCTTGCCGCTGGCTCTGCCTCCGGAGTTGGTAGTGACGCTCCCGCTGCTGGTTGTTGTAATAATCGATGAGGGAGCTCGACTCGCCATCGTCATCGATGTCGTCGTCGTCGCCGTTACGGTCATCGTCGCTGTCGTCGTCGTCGTCATTGTCGTCGTCGTCCTCGATGTCATCCACTTCTCGATTTCTGTCCCTGTACCGATAGTCATCGCTACTGGCATCGCCCGAGTAGGTGGCAATGGCGTCGTGTTTTTCATTGTGATAGAGGCGACCCGATCGCGTCCTGGTGACCCTTTCGATCCGCTCGAGGGGCGCTGATCGAGCAGATACTCGCAGGATGAGGCCACCAATGGCGCCACTTCCGAAACGATGGCCGTGGTGGGTAGTAGACGTGTGGTGACCAATGGTCGTGGCCCCATCATTACATTCGATTCCACCTTTTCCTTCTCCTTCTGCGCTGGCACAACCTGTCTCGAGTTCAAGTACTCTTCCTGTTCCTTCTGCTCCTCCTGCTCCAACTTCAACTCCGCTGGATCCTCCTCCCGATCCGGCACCACCGCTGGTGGAGCTGGTGGCTGTGGTGGGGGGACTGCTGCAGCTGCCTCGCTGTCGTCTGAACTTCCAGCCGAATCCTCTAGGTAGTGGCCATTGGTCGTTGCTTCCCCCTACCAATTGTTGGGAATAGAATTCAACTAATCAATTCTGGTTGGGATAGAGCTTCCTGCTGGCAGTTGGCGCCGCCCCGGGATGAAGAGAAGGAGTGAATAATGGTCGGATGAGAGTGAAGTGTATAGTGATGGAGTTTAGGTTCGAGTTCGTTTACAGTACGGAATTTCGATAGCAGGATCGGATTGGTTGTCAATCGGCATCGTCCTTGTCCTTGTCCTTGTCCGGACCCGTTCGTGTGTTAGTGATGGTGATGAGCTCGCAATATTGCAGTATGGGCTAAAGCTTCACTAATTTCACTACGACCTTCTACCCAAGATACATTATTTTAAGTTGTGATTTTTTTTTAAGCAACATTTAAGATATACAAGATGAGACAGGCAAAAACGGAAGTACAGTTTACATACAAAGTCAAAACATGTTTAGAGCGTGATTGATGGTTTGATGGTGGTTTTTGAGCGATGAAGATGGAGAGAGATGGTGATGAGCGAGTTGCAGTCGGATGATGATGTTTTATGAAAGTATAGACAAAATACAGAAAGACAAACCAAGGTTCTTGGGTTAGTTCATTGAGTTGAGGCTAGGCTACATGCAGGTGTGTGCTAGGTGGATTGCTTATGAGCTACAGATCGGAGGAGGGCGTGGCGACTAAGGGGGCACAGGTTCTGAAATTCGAACCCGTTCCCCTTAGACGTAGTCACGCTCTTCCTCTTTCTGGCTGGTGCATAGGTACAGTTGCCACTGTTTTCGCCATGCAGCGGAATGCAAAAACGGAATGGAAACGGAAACGAAACGCGACACGATTCCATTTGCAGTCGGATTTTATAGCTTTTATATTTGTAAATATTATGTTTTATATATTTTTTTTATTTTTTTATATCTTTTTATCTTTTAATTTTTTACATTTTGATATTCTTGGGTATTTCTTCGATATTTTGTTATGCTTTTGGGTATTTATTATTATTATTTTTATTTTTTTTTCTTCTATTATTTGATATTTAAGGGTTTTGTTATAAAATAATAATACAACAATATATTATTTAATTTTTTATTTTTTGATATTTTTAAGTATTATTTTAATATCCATATCCATATATACATATGTTACCCTTTTTCATATTCGATATTTTCATACATTTTTCGATATTTTTAAATATTTTTTGATATTTTTATATATTATTTTATATATTTCAACTATTATTTGGTATACCCTTTTTGATATTATTAAATATTTTCGATATTTTAAACTATTTTTTGTTGGTATTAAGTTAAAGATTTTGGGACGTGTCTTGGGATTTTGCTGTAATAACGACCCACCTTTTTGACGTCGTCGCTATCCTGCTGCGTCTTCTCTTCGTCGCTCTCCGTCTCTTCCTCGAACAGGGGCTCAAGGCGACGTCTATTGACGGATACGTCGGGTTACGATTACGGATACGATATACGGTATACGTTACGATAATACGTGTGTGTGGCGTATGCAAACGAATTTCAATTGGAATTTAGCAACAGTCGATTGATGTGTGTGTTGATTGGTTCGATATGTGTGTGTGTGTGTATATAGATGTCATTAATGGATATATATCTCGATTCCGATACATTTAGATATGACTATATATAGAAATACATAAGAGAGTGGGCTGAGCTACCCTAGCCTGACTATGACTATGACTAATGGCTATAGCCTGCGAATGAGTGAGCAAAATACTAGGATATATAAAGGCTATATATAGAGAAAGAGAGAGATCAAGATATAGGAGGATACTGATGGCGCTGATTCGAATCGAATTCGGGAGATGTGTGGTCGTGGTGTGTGTAAATGGAAACGAAAGGGAGATAAACACCTGTAAAAGCTACGAAAGAAAGTTACCAAAGGAGTACACGAAAAAAAAAGAGAATTCATTTGGTCTTATTAAAACACTATCACGATATATACTATATACTAGACTATGTGTGGTAGATGGTAGATACATATAAATATGTATTTATATTCGATATATATAGGAGTTGGCAGCTGGAGCTTTATAGGTCTAAACTAGGGTTTTATCTCAACTACCGGCTGTGTGTGTGTACATATTGTGTCTGTGATCTTGGCTTTCGGGTGAGCTGGAAATAAATCGACTTTCAGAAAATCGATTTTCTTAATACAAAATTCGATGAGTAAATCGTTTATAGTCGATTAAAATTAAAAATGGAAATAATTTTAATTATATTATACATATATGTATATCGATTTACATACGTATCGAACTTTTTCGATTAAATCGATTCTGATCATTTATATTAATATATCGCATAATTGAAAATAATGAATCGATTATAGAATCGATTTTATTTTTATCTCGATTAATCAATTATTGAATCGATTTTATTTCCAGCTCGATTAATCGATTACAGAATCGATTTTATTTCCAGCTCTAGTTTCGGTTGAGCTTCGTCCTGGAGTTTCCCCTAGACACCTACATACCGTGGCAATAGTCCTCGGATCGTGCTGGCCGTCATGGGTGGGGCCATCAGCAGTTCGTCCATCATCAGTTCGGTGTCATCGTCATCGTTGAGCGAGGTGCTCGACTTGGTGGGTGACTAAAACGAATCAAGGATTAATGTTCATTTCCTCTAACACAGTTAGCTTATCTATCCACTCACCGAGTGTGTGTTCTCCGAGTTGATCAGCTGCAGGTCCTGGTCATCATTATCCCCTCCACTGGTGGGCGTGCCCCATACCTCCTCCCCGCTGGTAGCTCCCGAGGTGCACTCGTCCATCTGCTCGTCCGTTTCGGAGGCGGTTCCTCCTCCACCTCCACCTCCCTGCTGCAGCTGGGCATCTCCGGCATTCCAGCGACCCAGATACTTGTCTATAAAGGCTCGCGATTCCTCGAAAAAGGACATTTTGTCAGTGACATAGGCCCCAGCACGATTTGTCCACGCCCCACTGGCCAGGACATCCCCATTAACCAGATGCATGCCCGCCGAGGTGGATGGTTCATTGAGATTCTGGGCCAAAGCCTTATCCGAGCCCACCTCCTCATCGTCGTCCCCGTCCCCATCCTCCTCATTGTCTTCATCGTGACCGTTCGGCGTATAGGAGACGGGCTCCTCTAGGTCATCGTCCAGCTCATCAGCCTCGTCCATGCGATCATCGGAGGGTAGCTTCTCCAAACTGGACATGGTGCCAAAACGCCGGAGGGCACTACTCATGGGTCTGTAGGGTGGCTCTTCGTCCAGCGGTGATTCATCGCAAGAATCCTCGGGTATATTCTCAATGGTGGCCTGCCTGGGCTGCTTGGTGGTGGTGGTGGCTGTGCTGGTGGTTGTGGTGGTTCCTCCTCCATTTGAGGAGGAGCAACCACTGTTGTCCCACACATGAGTGCTGGTTTTGGTGAGCACAGCATCTGGAGTGGGCGGCACTACGGCTATCGTGGGTGTATCATCCTCTCTTGGACTTGGCTTGTGTGCTTGATGTGCTCCTCCACCACACAACCTGGCCGCCGGCGCAAACTGTGCCAGGCCAATGAGCATCAGAGACAACTGCTCATCCTCTTGCTTCTGCTGCTCAATGGTGCTCGTGCTGGTGGTCTGCTTGGGTGACTCTAGCAGCTTGCAGGTCTGGTGCTCCATTTTGTCTGGCGATAGCTGGGCATGGGTAAAGTCCTCCGGCTGGCAACGACAATGGCAGGCGGCATATTTGGCGGGTGATCCTCCTCCTATTGCTGCTCCTCCTCCACCCACTGATTTCGAGGGACTTCTTTCCACACTCCTCATTATCCTAGCCGTCTCTGTGATGGTCACAATGGCCTTGACCTGCTGATTGGCCTTGGGTCTGCTGGGCTCCTGGCACAATTGGGCCACAATACGTGTTCTTCGCGGCGGAGGCAATGGCTTGGGCGAGCCAGAAACCGAGTTGGAGTTGGATTTAGAGCAATGGCCATTGGGCAGGGAGGCAGGGAGAAAAACAGACTGATCTAGATGACGTAGCTTGGAGCTGTTAACCTCGCCGGCACTGAGGCTGCTGCTGTTGGGCATGGCGCCGACGCTGTCATCGGTGGCCTCTGATTGGGACAGGGACAGTTCATCGGTGATCAGTTGGGCCACATCGCTTTCGGTGTCGCCGGTCTCCCGGCGTGTGCTGCTGCTTCCGGCCACCCTCTTGGAGGATAGCTCTCCGGTGATGGTGGTGGTGGTGGTGGTGCTGCTGCTGGACATGCTGGTCATGCTGCCGGCACCAGCAGTTGTTGTGGTAGTGCCTGTTCTCAAACCCATCTCCAATGCCAGGCCATCCGAGGAGAGTGTGCCATTGAGTTTGCAACAGCGATTGGGCGAGGACTGGCTATGCTGCACCTTCAGGGAGTTGCAGAGCAGGACGGGATTCGAGCTGGTAGCACCGCCAGGTGTGCCTGTACCTCGGTTATTGCCCCCCGGCCCGCTCTGCTGGCAATTCTTGTGGCAATGCCGGCACACGGCCAGCTTGTCCAGCACAATGGGGCTAGAGCGTACGGTGATCTGGCCGTAAAGGAGGTTAGGAAGCAAAAAAGGAGCCAGGAGGAGCAGGAAGACATTAAGGGTAAAGAAGAGAGAAAGCAGCAGGTTTTAGCAATAAGTTAAGCAGGCGAGGAAAAAAAGAGATCCTTGATGAAGATTAACAACAACAACCCATTTCTCACCTGGCTATCCGAGGTGGTGCTGTGCGACTGACTTATCACACTAGTCACCGCCTCCGCATCCGATGTGGAATATATATCCGAGGTGGCACTCATGCTTAGCTCCTCGACGCCGCTCAGTCGCTTGCCTCCAAAATTGGGCTTGGCCGAGAGTCCACCATTCTCTTTGGCCAAATTGAGCTCCTTGGTGCGCTTCTCCAGCTGCTGTCGCGTCCAATAGGTGATCCTTTCATCCTGCTCGCTGTCGCTATTGAAGATTAGCTGCTCATCTTCGGCACTGACGTTCTCCTGGGACCTGGCAATGGCCGCCAGGCGAGCCTGTTGCTGCTGCTTGTCCAACTGACCCTTCATCCAGTTGGCCAAGTGCAGGGCACTGGACTTGGGAGTGCCTGTCTTGTTGAGGATGCGGCACTTTTCGTCAATGAGGAGTTCGATCTGCTCCACATGGCCACTAGGACCACCGGCGCTGTTGCTATGGGAATGGCCATGGGAGGAACGATCAGTGGTGGCTCCTCCTCCGACTCCATGGGAGGAGTTAGGGCCGCGCTGCTGGAAGATTATGAGGATGTGGATGAAACATATACATTACCTGGACAAGGGACACTCTTAATCCATAATCCTGGACCCACCACCACCACCAGCACTGGGACCCACTAAGGTTTTGGCAAATTAAAATTTGTGATGGGCTCTCTCTAGCTTAAGGCTTTTGGCTTTTGCTAGCTGATTTTGCTTTTGATTTTGTTATTGATTTTGCTATTGATTTTGCTATTGATTTTGCTTTTGATTTGCTTTTGCTTTTGATTTTCTTTTACTTTTGCTTTTGCTAAGCTTTGCTTTTGTCTTTGCCTTCTTTTCTTTTTTTTTTTTTTTTTCTTATTCCTTAGAACTCTCTGGCTGTCTTTTGTGATCTTTGTTTTACTTTCTTTTTGCGAAGCGGAGAAACGGAACGAAAACAATAATAATCGCGGTCCATCTTTGATTAAAAACGCTTGCTCTCTGGCTCTGAATGGAGTTGTTTTCGTTTAAAGATTTAAAGATGGGCTTATAAGCGGGATTATACAGGATAATACAGGATAATACAGGGTTACATGGAGGGGGGTACAGTCACAACAAAAACATCTAATAAGCAATGGAAGTTTGAAATTAGTTTTTTGAGAACAGGAAGAAGCAATTTGAACTTAAAACTAAAATTGAGTCCATCACAATTTTTAATTTATCAATTTTGGTTTTGGTTTTTTATATATATCTTGAAGATATATATTCTTTTTCTATATATATTTTATATATTTTTGTGGTTTATAATTCAGGAAGCGGAGCGTGCTCGGTGGGTTTTCTTTTTCTCTACTTGGTTTCCATTCCCCTGTTTTTTCGTGGTGTCTTATTTTTTTTATATTTTTGTTTTTGTTTTCAGTGAAATAAAAAGAACATCCACAAGCGTTTTTAGTCAAAGAATCATTTTAGTTTTTTATTATTATTATTTGTTTTGAATTCATCGTTTCTCTTCGCAATCTCAATCTCAAACGGGCTCAAGATATCAAGCTATATATATATATATATGTTTATATATATAGATGTGTATATCTCGATCCTCTTCTCGTTTTAAATGTAAATAATTCGCAAAACCTTTCTAGACGTAGTACATCAAAATTTACAGAATATGAGAATATGAATCTAAATAGTATGTATAATATATAGAAATATATATATATCTGCTTGTATATATATATATATATATATATATATATATATATATATATATATATATATATATAAGTGTGTATGTATATAGTGTGTATAGAAATCTTTTTTCGTTTGTTTGTTGTTGTTTACTGCTCAAGGCACACACGAAAAAATCGGAGCGCAAAAGACAACGCGGCGTATGCTTGATATTCAACAAGGGAGTGTTTGCAAGGGAGAGTGGTGTGTGTGCAGGTGGAGTGTGTGTGGGTTAGTCTACAAAACTCTTGGCTGGCAGGCTCAACGCTAGAGCTGCAAAGTATTGCAAGTTTTCATTCTAATTATCGATTTAAAATCGTTTAGTATCGATCTTTTTGCCAGCCCTAGCTCTGGGACCATTCGGTAGAAGCACAGTGGTTAGAAATGTATTAAAAAGGCTTGGAAAAAATTTAAAATATTTATAATGAATAATTGTATAATAAGAACTATTTAAATCAATATATGTATGTTTTAGGAAAAAACTAGATAAATATGAATCTCTATTGGGTTGGCCTTTTTATTAGATTTCAAACCACTGTGCAGCTAGCAGAGAAGTGCTTCCTCTTCGTTTTTAGAGATATTTAGATACGTAGATACTTAGATACGTGTGGTTAGCTTGAAGATACATACGCAAAAGGCAACAAAGTGTGCTTGCCACGGTTAATTGACATCGATAGTCGGCTCAGATACATAAAAGTAGCAAGTGTAGGTGACACAGCCAGCCAAGACACACAGACTTGCACACCCACAACAGGGGAATAAAGATACAAATATAGATACAAATACGGATACGTATACGAATACAGATACAAATACAGATACGGATACTATAGGTAAATATTCAAAGGAATGTTTGTGTTTCTATTTACAACTGGGTTTTGCAGGTTTTCTTTTTCTTTTGTTTTTTTTTTTTAGTTTCTTTGTTTTTTCTTATATTTTTTTTGGCCAATCAACAGTCTAACATAATTAGGTAATAATTTCGATAAAGATAATATTTTGGCTAATTTACGTAAACAACTTAGCATACGATCCAATGTAAACTAGGACTAGGCTAAAGTGAAGATAACAACGGCTATAACAGTGATCCAATATAGGTTCTCAATTTTTTTTTGGCTACAAAATGGAAGCAATATTAACATTATAGTATAACTCCTTTTTTTTTTAATCTTTGGGTTTCCTCTTGGCAATCAAAATTTTCAAGTTATTACGAATCGAGCGAGAGAGACAGAGAGATAGAAAGAGTGTCTTGTTTGGGTAATATATGTATATATATCTAAAAGCTAAAAACTCTTGTAAATTTCGACTAGCTAATATACATAATTACGGCTATATATCTAGGGCGTGTATACTATGTATACTATGTAAATATATATATATATATATATGTGTGACTAAAAAGAGCCAAGTACTAGTACGATGTATCTCTGCTTCTCTGTGTCTTCTCAATAATCATCACCTCTCTCTTTTCCAACCTTTATATACATTCGATTCTAAATCAAACTGGATGGAACAAATGTCGGGGCTCTCAGGGGGTTTACATGGATACGAGCATATGTATATACAATTAAACACACACACATAGAGAGAGAGAGATGGTTTAGTTCTATGTACAATTTCCACAAATAATTGTCACTTCTCACTCGCAAATATAATGAGGAATACACTGAAACTAAAAACCCTTTGAAAACTGTGATTTTATTTGATATATCCCTCTGGATATATCTCAAGGTTTAGTGTATGCTTTTAGCTTTTGATTTCGATTCTGATTCTGTTCCTAATCCTTTTGGGGTTTTTTCTCTTACTCTTACTGATCTTCTAAGGGATGCCTCAGTGATCCTCTCAGGTATCCCCATATTGAACCTCTCATAGATCCCCTTACTGATCCTCTAAGGGATCCCCTTATTGATCCTCTGAAGGATACTTTTACTATTCCTCTCAGGGGTTCTCCCAACTGTTCTGTTAAGACATCCTCTAACTGATCGTCTCAGAGTCCTCTGATTGATCCTCTCAGCAATCTCCTTACTGATCATGTGTGGGATCCCCTTACTGATCCTACTACTGATATCCTGGCAAAGTCAGTACCCAATCTTCCAGAGACACGGCCGCTGATACACTGAGCGAAGCTGGCGGGGCAAAAGCAGAGCAAAAGGGCCTCGCCAATGGAGCAGAGAGAGATATATATAAAAAGATATACATATATGCATATATAAAGAGACAGATATATATATATATAAAGGGACAGAGAAAGAGAGAGTACAGAAGTGGAGCTGTGGACTTCTTCCGATGATCAGTGGTGGTTACATAGTTGTCTAAGCTCGTCAAGGGTTCAAAGATTGTGCGGCAAGGTATCGGTATCGGTTTCGTTATCGTTATCGGTGTTGGGACTTGGATGGGGCTTTAGATTGGGCTCCGACTGCAGCCAAAAGTCAAATCACAGATCCAGGGAATCCGGCGGCGTCGGCTTGGTGGGCAACATGCCAAAAGGATCATCCACCACTACACTATCCTCCTCCTCCTCCTCGTCTTCGTCATCGTCATCGTCATCTTGGTCACAGTTCCCGTCGGCATCGTCACCCAGAAATATGCACTCCTCGACATCGGTGTCATAGCAGGGATCAAGATTAACCTCATGCAGCTGAAGATCCAGCTCAAGGAGATCCCAGGAGCCACCAAACTCCGCCAGGGGTATGCTCGGTGGCCTTTCCGGCGCTGCCGCCGGCGGCGGCACAAAGTCATTGGAAAAAGCATCCGAGTTGCAGGGTTGAGAGCTGGGCGAGATATTCGGCGTGGGTGTCTCCGGTGTGGTCAGCGACACCTGACCACCCATCTGCGTGGCCATGCCAGTACTGGACTCATCAATAAAAGACCTGCCCACCGAGCTGAGGCTGAACTCGAGAAGCTTCTTGGAGGGATGTGACCGTGAAGGCAGAGCAGTCGGCTGCTGCTCACTGCTTACTTCCGGTATAACCGTGAGGCACTTGCAGTTGGCCAGCGATAGGGAGGACAGCACCGAGGTCTGGGTCTGTGAGTTTGTCTGCGACTGGGTCAGGGTTTGGGTGTGGACCTGGACCAGGCTGCCGCCGCTGCTGCTCAGGCAGGAGGAGGAGCCAACCCCTAGGCCCAGACCATTAACCAACGAGCCATTCCTTGCCGGCGAACTGCTGCTCTGCGGCAACTGAACCTGGGAGAGGGTCTGCGATTGGGACAGAGTGCGGGACTGGGAGAGGGTCTGCGATAGGGTCTGGGACTGGGACAGGTTCTGGGCCTGTGACTGTGACTGCGACTGAGACTGGTAATGGGTCTGGGTGGCGCTGCTCGTGGTGGTGCTGGCGCTGGCGCAATGATGACGCACTGCGCTAGCCAGGCGCTGCAGATTCTCGTAGGAATCGGCGCTGTCCAGACGCTTGCTGCGAAAGAGACGCACCTGCTGTTTCTGCTGCTGCTTCAGATGGATGCTGTCCAGCGACGGCAGCTTCATTGAACCCATTGAGGCGGAGGTCAGTCCAATGTCGCTCAGTGGCACCAAAGTATTAAGAACATCCGGCGAGTCCAACGGACTGGACAACGGGGTTGAGCCCAAAGCGGCATTGACCAAAAATCTGTGAAAAATAAAACCAGGATTACTCTTGATCCAAGTCTTGGCTGATACCCAACCCACATCTGTCGCTGCAACAGGTTCTGCCAGACGGCCTTGAGCTCCAGGGAGGGCGCTCGCAGGATAAGACTTTTGCGGCGTGCTCCTCGCTTCGGCGTTCGGGTGAGATCGGGGGCACAGTACCCGGTTGGACTCTCGGCCAAACGTCCATTGGGATCCACAGTTAGACGGAACTCGGTGGCTGTAAAAAGGGATTAGGATAACCAGAGGTCAGGGGAGGTTCAGGTTGACGAATTCACTCACTCTTCTTGCGCATGTGAAAGCAGGAGTCGACCACATTGGCTATTGGTATGGGCTCCTCGGTGATGAACAGTACCCGGTCCCGGCTGACCTTGGCAAAGACAATAATATCGCTAAAAAGCAGCGTCCAATAGGGCTTCACGGATCGCCCCTCGACGCGGGACAGATCCCCACCGAATATCCACTGGCGACCCTGTACAGCCAGGGTAAAGGGCTTGCACTTGGTGAACACCATCCGTGATTCCAAATCCTGAAGCGTGAGCAGCGGCCTTCCTTCGCCCAGGGGCTCCATGAGGCCACTGCTCACTGTGATCTCCCGGTAGGCTGCCTGCAGTTCAGCAATCACCGTGCTAAAGTTCTTGTGCTCCTCGGTATCCACATGGCAATTGCCAGCGAGCAGCTGCATCAGCTTGAGAATTTCCCGGAAATGCTGCAACGGTCGATGGATAAACATGGTGAGATCGGGACGCTTACGCGGCACAGCCGGTTCTGTGATGAAGGCAATGAACTCGGACCCCGTCTGCCGCGATTTGTTGACCAGGACGCAGTCCGCCCGCTTGATTCCATTGCAATATTTCTTGTAAGCCGCACAAATCGCTGTCGTCTTGGAGAGATACACCCGCGAGGCGAAGTTCATGTGCGGCTCCTGGTCCGGTTGCTGTTGCTGCTGATCCTGGCTGCTGCACAGCTGCTCGAGGATGTCTTCCGCAATGCGCAGCAGCTCGTCAATGTTCTGGAACAGGGTGCGGTGGTCATTCGGCGAGATGAGGTCCTTTCGCTCCAGCAAAGGCTGCACGAATCGCTGTACTCCAAAGTGCAGGGCCGCCGTGAAGTTTTGCTCGCGGCTAATCAGTTGAAGGAGAAAGCGCCGCCGGTTATCCGTGATGGGCACAATGGACTGGAGAGGTAATAGAAGGGTTTAAGAACGGGGTTTTCGCTTAGTAATAGTTGAAGACTTGGAGGAGGTCTAGGGTTTTGGTGGGAGTGAGAAATGTATGGAATATAGTTATGGGAGATAGTAAAAAAAGGAAAAAGAATTGCATGAAAAAAGAATTGCCTTTAGAAGGTCATTAAGCTAAAAGTTTTTATAGGTTCGGTTTAAAAAATGGATAATCTAAACCCCTCTTAAAAGTGTCTTAACCTTCACTTAAAGTGTGATTTAAAAAAAAGATTAAGAGGATTGAGGTTAATTCGTGATTAGAAAAGATCTTAAAGAATATTAGAGAAGGTCTTAATAAATGTTAGCGAATGTCTTAAAGAATTTCGGAAAGGGAAGTGAGATATATAAAGGATTAAAGATATTAAGTGAGCTACAAAGAGAAGCTCCTTAATGGAAAATGTTAGCTTAGTTTTATCAAAAATAAAAGGAACACATGATATATAGGTGTTATGTCTTAAAGATGGTATGTCTTATTGGTGTCATATCTCAAAGATGTTATGTCTTATAGGTGTCACGTCTTTAGTCTAATGATCCATCCTAAACGAGACAATGTATAAACCAAACAAAGAAATCAAAACTCAGACACATGAAATCGAAAAAAGTTTATTGTCAAGCGGGTTCAGTGGTTTCTCAAAGGAACTAAGGGCTAGGCACAATATATAAATATATATATATAAAAAAAAAGAAATTAATAATTAATTAATAATAAATCTTAACGGATAAAGGGGACAATATATACAAATGGCAAAGACACAAAAAATACAAAAAAAAAAGAAGAATAATGTTTTATGAAGAAAGACCGTGGTGAGTCAGTGTCCTAGACGATGACACCCTTGCCTACCTCCTTGCTGAAGGTGACCTGTGGCAGGTGTAGCCTCCGCTTGGCAGCCTCAATCGATGAGGTTGTTCCAGAGCAGGCGGTGGCCGGTCGGCTTAGGCTGTTGCCCATCTGTGCGGAGCCTTGAATTCGGGAACTAGCTGTTCTTTGCAGGCTTATCAAGGCGGTGCCCGTTCCCGTTCCCGTAGTTGTCGTTGCTGTGGTATGCTCCTCACTACCCAGTCCTAGACCCACACCCACGCCCACTCCCATGCCTGGCATCTGATGGCGGGTATTGCTGGTGGCGGTGCTGCTGCTAACGTTTGCATTGGAGCCACCCAGGTTCGTGATGATGGTGGTGGCGCCCGCGCCTGACCTTCTGAAAATCTCCAACGTCAAGGCCGAGCCCTGCGATCGTATCAAGTTCAGAACATCAGCCTCGGGCATCGTGACCACATTGTGCTTGTCCACGAAGATCACATAGTCGCCGGGCAGGATGCCGCATCGGTCTGCGGAGAGACCAGCCTCCACCTTCTCCACTCGCGGTGGATGTGTCCACACAATGGAGAAGCCAAAACCTCGTTCCTCTGTCCTTGTCAGCCGTTTGGTCATCGTGAAGGGCGTGCGTCCTGTTTGCCGGCTGCCAGATCCTCCTCCTCCTCCTCCTGGCATAGTGGACTGACGTCTCCCGCTGGCTGTTGATCCATTCAAATGATTGGCATTACTCTCATTGGCCTTGGTCGCCGTGGCTCCCGTTCCCGCTGCAGATCCTGAATTGGCATTGGTTGTGCTATTGGCATTGCCATCCGCCGGCGGATCCAGCTCTAGGAAGCGCAGGAATAGATTCTCATCGGCATCGCGCTGATGCAGCGCCTTCTTGCTCAGCCTCATGGGCTGCTGGGGCTGTTGTGGCATCAATGGATCCTCCCGGCCCATGCTATCGATGCTGATGCTGATGACCTCGTCGTTGAGAGGTAGTGACGTTGTCGTGGCTCCCACACCCACGCCCACGCCCGATCCATTGGCCGTTTTCTGTGGCGTCAAGGTTACAGTGGCAGCCGCTGCCATCTCTAAGGATTCCTGCTCCTGTTCCTGCTCCTGCTCCTGCTCCGTTACTTGCTCTGCTCTATGACGATGATGATCCTGGCCTGGGGCTTTCGTATGGCTCTGCTGGCGATGATTATTATTATTATTATTATTGTTGTTGTTGTTGTTGATATTGTTGGGTGGACATGGCTGCGAGAGCAACTTGTAGGATCCCGCCGTGGTGGCCGCCTCTGGGTGCACTAGCTCGCTTAGGGGAAAGTTGCTGCAGCCCAGGAACTCGCTGCGTCTGTGAAGGAGAAGGGAGAAGGTCAGGAGTATTTTTTTTACTTATAGTTTATTTAATTATATATAATATATATATTGTTTTAAGTTTAATTTATTTTTTAACATGTATTTTTTTTTATTTATTTATTTACATACATATATCTATTTTTTATGTAATTTGTTTTAAAAATTATTTATTTACATCTACTTTTTTTATTTATTTTTTTAAATAAATTTTTTGTATTAGTTTTTTTTTATTTATTTATTTATATATTCTTATCTATAAATACCTTTTTTTTATATTTTTTATTTTTGGTAATTTATTTATTTATGTAGATTTTTTTAGTTTATTTATTTATTAATATCAATTTTTTTTAATTAAAGACGTTTTTTTTTTAAATTTATTTATTTTTATTTTCATCTAGTTTTTAATTTTTTTTTAAATTTTTTTATATCTAGTTATTTTTATTTATTTATTTATTTATATATTATTTTAATTTATTTATTTATATTTTTATCTAACTCAAAGAAAGGAACCCCCCCCCCAAGGGTCTATCGATTCTATTTTGCAAGTATCCTTCGAAAGTTTTCGAGGTTTCTGGAAATTTATAAATATTTTATAGGGAAACCCCTTGAAAGCAACGACTTTATCCTTTCAGGATAATACCTATTGATTCATATATATGTATATAAACTCTGGGCTCCTCTCTATTAGATAATACCAACTTAGACTTAGGCCTAGATTCTGGCTGGGCACGTTGTCTAGGTCTGACGGACTTTGTCTAATTATAGTTGGCTTACAGCTGATCCAAGCCTAGCACCTGACCCGCTTTTCTCGCGCTCTTTCAACCACTTTTCCTGCTAGTTTTCCCCCTCTCTTTGGACAGCGACCAGCGTACGTGACATAAATCAATTAGCGGCTTTAAGCTGCTGCCGCATTCCTTGGCTAGAAAATGTGTTTGGCCCGGAAATGCGCTTTGCCCGGCCAATTTGTTGGGCGGAAAATGGGTGTACATATATATAGTACATCTCCTGCTGCCACCCACTCGGTGCCACCACCCCCCTGCTGGCTTAGGAGAGGTTGCTGCTGGTGGTGGTGGTGGTGGCAGCATGACAGTGGCTCGTACATTGCCTCTTCTTCCACTGGCCACTTGGGTCTGAAGTTGGCGCGCGTATTTGGGTCACTTTTATTGATTTTCCCGGAGTTAAGGACTCGCTCGCTCTCTGACTCTTTGTATTTATTTATTTCTTAGTTGTATTTTTGTGTAGTTTTAGGGGGGGGGCGATTGCAATCGCAGCTGTCAGGTGCAGTGGCTTTTTCGGGTAACGAGGTCCTGTGGACAGGACCTCATCAATTATTAAGTGGCTTTTGTCGTTTTGTAAATTGACTTAAAACGCTGCCAAACTATTTTCACAACTCGCACGTACTTGAATTATGCATGGCAAATGAGGGAACAGGGAAATGGGAAATGAGAAAATGAGGAAAATGGTGGAAATGGGGAAAATGCCAGCTAGAAGCAGGTGGTGCGTGAGGTAAGCAGGCTTAAATGGGGAAATGGGCCTTAATGGGTAAGGATGAGGGTAGTAGTGCCTGGTTTATGGCCGGCCTTTAGGTCCCGGGCGTACATTTAGTTAGTTGGCCACTTCAATTAGCCACCAGGATAACCCAGGATATGGTGCGTGTGCGTGTACGGTTTTTAAGCCTGGGCATTGCATAATCAACGCCATCGATTTGGCATTAAATTCGCTTTTCCGGCACAATGTTGCTTCTCTTTATTATAATTATATTTTTTTGAGCCTTGGCTAATGATGTCCTTGAAGCTTAATTCATATTTTGAAGAGAGAACACCTCACAGACACGCGCGCTTAGGCAGAACCTTTAGCCACTTCCTGTTCGCGTTTGTTTAGGCAGCATGCCCCCGAAATTATGCTACACTTTCCATGCTCACACACGCACACACACTGTTATATAAGTTTTCCGTTGCATACTTTTGCTCCTTCGAAAGGACACTCTAACCAAAAAAAAATCTACAAAAATAAATAATGAAGCAGGCGTAGGATATATGTATCTATATATATCGGAAGATATATAGCTTTCTCAAGTGCATATAGGAAAGTGCACCTACTTTGCCGTTTCGATTTCCTGCGCTTTTCTTTCTCGAGCGTTGCCAGTCGCTTTTCGCACGCGAGCTTGCCACTCGGACTGAGTAACGGGAACTGAGCGCTGCTCGCTCTCAGGGAAAAACTGGGGAAAATCGCTTGACTCGGGGCTCTGGGCCCGGGAAAGTTGACTGGAAGTCGCCTAAACTGCGCACGCGGACTGGAAGGGACAATAAGGGTGGCTTGTTTATGTGCAGGAAATGCACAAGACACACGCACACACAAGCAGGAAGAGAAAGGATACTGGAGGTGCCACGAGGCCAGGAAGGGCGCCACAATTAACCAGACGCTCTGGCAGCTTTGGTCTTTTGCCTGCTCCAAAATCCACACCCCCTGCTGTTAGCCACTCGAAAGGAGCCCAAGGAGCTTCCCTCGATAAACGTTTTCGGGGTGAATGACTTGTCGCAGGACTTTAACTCGAACGTTGAACGATGGGTGGCATGGCAAGAAAAATTTGTGCTTATTGTTATTTTAAATAATATCTAATTGCTTTTTAATCTAAAATTATTGATTTCATTTTAAAAAGAAAATTTTTTTAATAAATTAAAAGGAAGCCTAGAGTTGCCAACAAAATATTAATTGTAGCATACTTTTGCGCTGATTATCAAGGGATTTTAATTAAGAATAAGAAATAAATATTAAAATACTAATATAAATTTGTATTATTGTATTAAAGAAGAATTAAAAACATGCAAATTTTTGGAAATTAAATTCTCAAAAGTATCTTTTAAATACCATAGGGTTTCAGAAACTCAATTAAATATTTATAAATTTTCTTTTAAAATTCTTCATTATTTCCCTTCTTTAAACCCACTAAATATTTGCAGTGTAGCCCTGCTTATGGCTTGGGGGGGGAGGTTGTTTCTTATAAATTCTTGTTTTGTTTTCCTGTTTCTTGGGCTTTCTTGGCTTTCGACCGTACTCGTACTCACTTTAAATGGCGATCCCGATGCCACACAGCCAGCTGAAGATGCTCGCCATCGCCAGAGCCGTTAACAACCGGAAAACTGAAACGCTGATCGAAGTAGGGACGACCCGAGTGACGATGGACGGCAGTGCGCTGATAGCCGCCCGCCGACGATGATGAGTGTCCTTGGCCCTGGCCGGACACAGACACCTTTACATAGGCATTGATGCAGCCACTGCCATGGGAACGCTGCAGGTCCCGGCAACGAATCACTGAAAGGGAAAAAAGAGGAAAAGCAAATCAATTAAATGAAAAGCCCTCGAGGAGAGACAGAACATGGTCCCTCGATAATCCCAATTAGAAAAATCGAGGATGGAGTTGGCGCACTTGGAACTCACCATGTACATTTAGTCGCTGCTCCTTGGTATCGTAGACGATGCTCAGATCGATGCTGCCCCTGCTGCTACTGTCCGACCCACTGCCACTGGAACTGGAAGTGGAGCTGCCACGACTACTGCTCCGCTTGGCCACCTGCTGCTCGACCTCCTCCTGCTCCTCCTCGTCGCTGGAGTTTCCCGAGCCAGAGCTGGAAGAGAAACTTAGGCAACGCTTGGTGCTGGGCACATGCTCCAGCTGCTGCTCCAAATGCTGCTCCAGCTCCATATGCTTCTTCAGCTCTAGCTTATCCAGCTTGGGCGCTGTGGTCTTGTGGGGATTCTTTCGGCGCACCACTCGCTGCCTCTTCAGATGCGTGGGTGTGCGCACCTCCATCTCGTGGACACTCGTCTCGCTCCACTCGCCGCCGGCACCAGTGTCCGCCAGAAGAGTATTAGTACTAGTACTGGGCGGAACCACCTTACAGCGCACCTCCTTTCGGGCCGACTCTATGATGGCATCCAGCATCCTGTCCAGTGTGGTATCACCCATGCGGGAGGAGGATAGCTGCGAATCCTCGAGAGCCGTGGAACGCTGGGGCAGGCAGCGGAGAGCCGCCAGCTGGGGCGTGGCCTGACGCGGACCACTACCCTCGCTGAAGCTTCTACGCTGCGGACTTTTGCCATGGACATTGCTTAGATCCTGTAGAGCAATTAGGCTGGCATTGCCAAAGGGACTGCTCATGAAGTGAACACCAAAATTCTCCTTGTTGGCATCGCCCGGAAGTCCGGCAACGGGGCGACGTCGTCCGCGTGACTCCTCTACCACGGCGCTGGAGCTGGAGTGGCGATGCATCCGTGTCATGGTTGGCATGTCCCTAACTGGAAGGAAGGGTTTATATATTTTAAATTTGTTAAATAAATTCCTAACTAAAAATTAGGAAAATTTGGGAAAGAGTATTTTCTAGGTTAATATTTTAGACTAATAAGATGCGTAACGGCTTCTTATTTTTTTGTGCTTAGCGTTATATATTTTTAAAAATTTGTAAATGAGGGAAAAGAGTTTCCTAGATTCATATTTTAAGGAGTTAATATATTAATAAGATGCGTAACGCATTTTAATTTTAGGAACTAACTTTAGACTTCTTTTGAAATGCTTTCCCCTGGGTGTTATTTTTAACTAATTGAGAACATTAATATCTAGCAATTAATAAAAATGTATAGGAAGAAGTTGTATATAAAGGACTCTTCATTTTCTCCTCTTTGGTTGGCAAACAAAATCCTGCTCCTGGGCAGCTGGCTGCCAAACAAGAGGATCAGTGCCGAGGCAGGGTTCTGGTTTGCTGCTCCTTCTCCTCCTTTCCATTCATTTCCATTCTCTGCTGTTTTTGGGAACTTCTTCCCGACAATTTCGACGCAAAAAAAAAAAAAAAAAAAAAAATCTCAAAAGAAAAGGAGGCTCGGACAAAGCCGGAATTTTTGCAAATTGTTTTTATTTTATTTTTTTTTTTTTTTTGCAAACGAGTTTCCAGAAGCTCGAGGTCCTGGTTTCAGGTTTGCATTTAAATTGAAATTAAACTTATGCTAATTTCAATTCAGAAGACAGATTTTTCGCGCAAGGCTTCTGCTGCTGCTGCTGCGGTTGCCAACCATAAAATTGAGCGAGTCCTTATACACTCGATCCTGTCTTGCTATCTATGTATGTAAGTGTGTGTGTGTGAGTTGGTGTGGTGTGAGTGCAACAATTACGCCCCAGCATAATGATGCCATTTTGCAAAAAAGAAAAAAGTGCGGCAATCGGCAAAGCCAAAAGGGGATCGTCAATGGTTCGTCCCAGATCCCTAAGATCCTTGTCTTTGTCCTTTGCCTGAATGGCTAGGATGTGTGTATTTTCCTACACACACACACACACAGAGAGACACACTGGGACAGAAAATGGGTTTTCATGTAATCTATAAACGTCATCCCAGCCCCGTAAGAGCGAAATTGCACTAGAAAGGCAGCCGCTTTTAAAAGGCGAGCAAAAAAAATATTTTCTTTCCAGCCCCAGATCCTTCTCGTGTGCGTGTGACTTGTGCCCGAAGGATTAGCTCAGGGTGGCAGCCAAGAAAAAAAAAAAACGAAAAGGAAGAATAATAATAATAAGAAGGAGCAGGAGAACAAATAGGAGCAGATCTATAAGTTCAAGGTAGAGCCAGCAACAAATTAAATGCATTAGAGAAGGACTCACCACCCCTTTTTTATATATTCTTGTGGGCCCTGATCTGGATTGGGAAGGACAACGCTTAGGGGTAAGGGTCTTAGGGGTTTCTGTTGCTATTTTCCCACTTTCACTGGGTTCCCTCCTTCCCTCCTTTTTTTAAATTAGATCTAGAGCAAGGACCAACACGTGAGGGCCAGGTGCAGATCGATTTTGGATTTTGATCGATCGCTGATCTCGATCGGAATCTATATCCCTCACCCTGTCAGGGATTGAATGACCATTTTGGTGGGTTGGGGACTTACCTGGAAACTTGATCTGCTTGCGACTAGGTCGCCCGGAGTCCTGCGCCAGTTGCTTCTTAACTGATTTTGTGTCCTTGGAAAATATTGTTTTTCACACAATTTTGTTTTGTTTATTTTATTATATTTTTTTCAAATATTGCACAGAAAAAAAATTTTAATGCCAAATAAGCTTTTAAAAGCCAAAAAATGTAGGGGTTTATTTTATATATTTTTTTTTCTATAACTTTTGCCTGCAGTGTCTGCACTGCACGAGTTCTGAAACGGAAATGAGGAAATGCGCACGCGCAGCCTTCGGCAAAGGCTCGGGCCGAAGCCTGAAGCAAACGAAGCGAGCCGAAGTGAGACGAACTTGGCCGAAGTAGAAAACTAACCCCCAAGCAGAGAGGGAGAGTAAATATCAGTTAGTTGAAATCCTCTCTTTGGTTTTGATTTTGTGGTCAGAGTAAAGGCATTTCGGTAGTGGGAAAATTCTGATATTTAATTGGTTTTTATATAATATTCAAGATTAGATAAATATTAACGATAAGGCTTAGACAAATATTATGTCTTGTTGGGGTATATAGAGATAGGGTATATGGTGGACTTATCTGAAGGAAGTGGGAAGCTAGAAAGTTGAGTATGTGGCAAGTGTGGGAATTTCTTAGATAAGGAATATAAATGTTTGGGATTTTAATAAAAATGTATTTCTCTGAAAGCAAAAAATTAAAAAACAAAATTGTAAAATTCTATAAAAATATGATTGCAATATTATTTAATATTCATTAATATTTTTAAGGTTAATTAAAGCACAATATACTATAAAAATTTACTTTAATTTCTTGTTTGGTTTTTGAGAACCATATTTAAGCTAAACTTAAATGTAAGAAAAGCTTGCTAAGCTAAAGAATTTGTAAGTAATTTTAGTTTATATCATTTTTATTAATTTTACATCATAACACTCAAATCTAAGAGCGCAGAAAATATTTAAGAGATTTTCGGGAGAAAGCAAATCCTTTTAACAGTTTCAGCCATCAGCCGCTAGAGGTCGCTCTTGTAGGGAAAAGTAATAACACTCTCTTTGCTCTCTTTTTTGCCTTGGAAAACCTCCTGTTGAACGTTGGGCTCTTTTGCTCCCACTCTCTCTCTCTCTCTATTGCCGTGACCGCTCTCTTTCTTCCGGTGAAAGAACACAGGATTGCTCTCCGCTAAGCAGGTAAATCCCGGCCAAAGGCATCCTTTGTGTTGGCCATCCGCCTGATCCTGGAGCGATCAAACAACAATGTGAGAGATCTGGGCCTCGGGACAGCTGGCAAGCGGCTAAAAAAAAGGTGGGAAAAGAAAGGAAACCCACACGACGGCGACGTCGCAAGGTGTCTCAGCCCAGATTTGCCTCGTGTGTTGTCCACAATATAGAACAATTGCAGCAGCAGCAGTAGCAGCAGGAGCGGGAGTAGAATCAAGACCAGGACCAGGAGCAGAAGCCGAAACAGAAGCCTAATGTCTCTGTCTCTCTCCTCGGCAAACGGTCATTACTTTCACTTTGATTTCTGATTTGTACTCCTGAATCTTTTGCCATTGTGCGGAGGCGGCAATTTACGAGCCGAAGCTTCGGTAAATATTTGTCCAGATGCCAGGACATGGCATAGCCAGGACAGGACACTCGTGCCCTACATTAGCAGCCGTTTGGGCCCCGGGTCCTGGTCATGTTTATGTGACGTGTGCCTGTCGATCTTTGGATTTTACGAGCTCGTTCAATCTTAGAATAATGGCAAATGCATTTCTCATTGCATATTCCTTGAGGATCAAAAAACGCGTGAGTCCTGTGCGGGGGAGTCTGGTATGGATTCGTGGAAAACTTGGGCCGGGGGTGGGTACTTGAGCTGATCCCGCTGGGAGACGTTCTCTCTCAAGGACAACTCAACTTCAGTCAAAAAGTCAGAAAATAGGGACAGCTGCCCGCGAATCTGTTATGTCATTGTCTATCCTCAAGAAGTCCTTCAGAAGGACTATTGAATGTGGATTTTGATGGAAAGTTCTCTGTCTGGTCAGCGGCGAATATTTAATGAGCCGTGAAATGCAGTTTCTTTATTGATTTTATATACTTGCGTATAATTTAAGGTTTGTTTATATATAAAACTAAGGTTTTTGTTAAACAAAAATGTTTTTAAATTATATAATAAATATTTAGTGTTATTAATATTGCCTTTTAATGAGGTTTTAAGTTGAACAAGGTGTTTTATTTATTAATTTAATATATACCTCTATATAGGCAAAGGTTTAAGCCATTAATTTGAGCTTATATTATTGCTTATTAAAAATATTATTATTTTATATAAGATATTTTTTTATATTATTTTTCCTTGGACTTTACTTGCTCCACACCCTTTTTACTAAAAAAATGCCTATAATATTTATAATATATGTATATATTATTTAATATACAAGCTATAATTATTTAAATTATTTAAGTAATTAAGTTAGCAATTAATTTAGATTTAAGGTATTTCATTTTTGCATAATTTATATTTAAGTATATTATACTTTTTCAAAAGGATCTTATAATTTTCTTAATTAAAAATTGAGTTATATTATATTTTATTATAAGATTATATATTTTTCGTATAGTTTAAGATATTTGCTTAAACATTTCACAAAATCAAGTCAAATAAAATCATAATTTACTAAATAATTTCTTTAGAAATTTGTTTTGTTTCTTAAACTTAATTTCTCATTTTTATTTTATTTATTTTTAATATCTTTTTCCACACATTACACTCCTCCCACCTATATAATCAATGGTTCAAGCCAAAAAAAAATATGAATCTAAATCTATAAAGATAAACATTTACAGAACCCTTGAGCCCACATTTATTTGATCTTTTTGCATAAGTACGAAGTGCTTTCCGCCCGTTCTGTTATATATATTTTTTTCCTGATCCCAAACCCTCGATAGAAGGATGTTTGCGCTTTTCATGGCCGCCAGCCGATCTTTGTCTCTGTAATTGATACGATTTCCATGTTTTCGTAATTCGCGCTTCATTAGAATCGAAATTAGCAACAACAACAGAGGGCGAAAGGGAAGGGTTACGCAGACTCGGGGTGGATTTCCTTGGACTTTCCCCGCTCTTGCAAAAAAAAAAAATGATCCAAATCGATTATAAATTCAATTTGAATCCCTAAGCGAGGGTTAGGTTTGGCGAACTAATTGCGAATGCATTAGGCATAAACCCCTTGACATATCTGGGTTTTATATATCGATGTTTTGGGTCCTTGGGTGGCCCCGAAAATTTGCCTAATTTGTGCAAGAAACTTGATGTCGTCGTGTAAGCGATAAATATTGAGGATTTTTAGGGATTTGCGAGTTAACGAAGGACGACTGCAAAAAAAATTTGCATGCGGAAAATGTGTGGGAAAATAAGTATAGCAAAGATTATATATAAATATATATAGAAAGAGATAGCTAGAGAGGTAGGAAAATCGAAGAGGACTTTTTGATTGACAGGCCGACAGGACGCGCCCCGAAAAAGGACTTGGCCGCAAAAGAGAGCAAGAGGAATGCCGACTCTGCTGTCGACTCCGATGTCCTTGTTTTGTTTTGATATTCACTTCACACAAACTCAGGACCAGAACCAGGACCCAGACACTGAGACTGATCTGCTTTCTGGAATTTGAAATTTGATAAATGACCAAAAAATGGCAGCAGCAAGGACACCCTTCTCAAGACTGCATTTCCAAAAGCGGAGAAGAAGAAAAAAAAAATCAAATTAGTGCAGCGCTTTTTTCCACTCCTATTCCTTCGTCCGGTTGTCCTAACAAATTTTTTAACTTAACCAAATTTGCATTTCTCACACACACACAAAAAAAAGGTTTATCCACCCGAAAAAGCCAGAGGAAAAAATCGAAAAAAAAGAGTTGCACAGATCCTGTCGATCCTTAGGATCCCCGGCCCTCCTCTCCTGTGCGTCTGCAGCAGTTGCACTCGTCCTTGTCAGACTGCGCGTCCTTTTTGTCCGTCGCGGCCTCCTGGGTACCCACAAATAATTCTCAGACATTGCGGCGCCCTCAAGTAATTTGACAGGCAGCTCAAAAAAAAAAATCGAAAGAAAAAAAACGCAGAGAATGCAGCTCAGTTTTTTGGAAAAAAGCCGGAAACTTGTTATGCAGCATGTCAAGTCGCCGAATGACATTTGGCAGCCTGATTTACGAGGCCCAAGGCGGCGGCGCACTGGATCCAGAATAAGGAAGCGCATCCAGCCCAAGGATGCAGCCGGAGATTGCCTTATTTTTTATCTTCATTCCTTTTTTTTTTGCAGTTACTCAGGCGAAAATTTAAGGTAGAATATAGAAGGGCTATATCTCCCATCGCCGATCAATGCCATCTAAATACAAGATAAATAAATCCTTGAGAGGCGGAGAGAAATGGGTTGAGCCTGCAGGGGGAATGCTAAGGCATAAGGCTTCTTTTTTTATGTGTTTTAAAAGATCCTTTTTTTTATTTAATTTAGAAAATGTACCTAAATCTTTGTTAAATTCTTTTTTAAACTTTTTTTTTTAAGTATGTTTAAATTATATTCTTGATTTATTTTTATTTTTAAATTTGTGGCAAAATATATAATTCTTTTATTTATATAATTGTCTAATACAAGAAAAAGTATTTTTAAAAACTAATATATTTTAATGTTTAAATAACAGGAAAGCCAAAAAACTATTTTATATGTACAATAATCATTTTTATTTATTTTCATTTCTTTATTTTAAAATAATATTTTTGTTAGGGATTTTGAAATAAAACACTTAAGAATAATAGTAAAATAATTACTACATTTTTTTAAGACCTTTTTAGCCTTACACATATTATATTTTAAAATCTTAATAACAAAAAGAAAAGTCTAAAGAAATTTTTTTAAAAATAAACTCTTGCTTTTGATTAAACAATATATGTATGTTTTGTTCCGTATAAATAATATATTTCTTTCATGTTTAATAATAATATATTTGTTTATTAATATTTTTAACAAGATAAACATTTTTTAATATTAAAAACTTTTAAATAACAAAAAAAAAGCCAGAGGAATATTATGTATGCTTACAAAAATACTTTTACTCAGTTAAGAAATATTTCCCTTTTAAAAAGTAATATATTTGTTAAAGTTCCCGAAATA